AAAAACATAATAAACTCACCAGAATGTTTTTGTGTGTGCTCTTTAATAAAATGAATAAAACTTTTCTTTTTTTCAAATACATTTTTAACACAAATGTATTAAAAAATACACTGTAAAAGTAGTAGTATATGACAATATAAACAAAGTAAAGAAAAACCGATCGTCATATAGTAAGTCAAACACAATACATAAGCTTAGGCTTTAATGAAGAACCATTTATGTTTACAAATTAGAATATATAGGTGAAAAAATAAGGTATACTTTTAAGAACATTCATTTGGCAGAATTGACTAAATTCGGTGATATTGTCAAAGTAATGATTGAATCTAGTGAAGTACGGAAAACTTATATTAAAAATGTTCGTAGTTTCAAAATATTTAGCCAAATTTAAAATTTTGACCAATTATATATATTTATTGGAAATTATTTATAATATAAATATGATACGAAAATATTCTTGGTTAAAAGTATTTTCATAAAAGTATAAAATTTATAACTTCCATATTATTATACTAATCAAAATCATGATCCAACTTTTAAGATTTGACTAAATATTTTGGGACGGAGGTAATATTTTATTTTACTGATAAAGAAAAATTTATATGAAAATATCTTAAATGTCATCTACAATAATTTCAATCGAAAAAGTAATTTCAAACTTATGTATTTTAATTATTACACAATTCAATAAACTAAAACAAAAAATACGCTTTCTGTAAAAAAATTAAAATGATAAGCTAAAACTAAATTGCTCATACTAATCAACTACAAAAAATCCACTCCATTAACTCTGGCTCATTAAGTTGCATGACACGTAGTGTATTGTTTTAATTCGTGGCACATTCATACTTCTTCCCACTACCACTGTCAACCACAATAACGAAATGCCCCCATCTGCCACAATCACCCCCAGGCCTCAACCATTTTCCTTCTCATAATTATCAACTAAACATGTAGATTACTCACCTTCTACCCTTCCATTTCACAAACACACAACACATTGCCTTTGTTGCCATACGATAATCAAATATTTCAGATGGGGGCATACCAAGGTAGAGAGTTCAGAATTTATATTTACAGCCACAATGACTCCCTCCCCCTACTCCCTCCGGGCTCCGAGAACAATAAACAAACTTTCATAAGTAAAATCAAAATTGGTAATTTTGATGATATGTCTGAGCTCTATGTATGTCATTCTATGGAGATCTAACCAAAGCCGGGTTGGTAAGTGAAGACTTCAAAAATTATTTCCCATTTGATCATTAAATAAACTCTTCTCCTGGTTTTATTTCATGGGGCGTGAAACTTTAGTCAAAGGTGTCCTATACTGCGGGATAATGCATGTCTTGTCCATCTAGATTCATTGGCAGGAGTTTTATTTCACCAAAGAATGATTTCCAAAGCTTTTGATTTTCATATAACATAGATTTATCGAAATTCAAGGTATATAGTTCTGATTTGAGATCTCATGTTTTATTAAAAAAAAAATACATCATTTGTATTAAATATTTTATTAAGAACACCACACTTTCATTTGTATAAAATATAAAACATGAGATCTCAAATCAGAACTATATACCTTGAATTTCGATAAATCTATCTTATATGAAAATCAAAAGCTTTGGAAATCATTCTTTGGTGAAATAAAACTCCTGCCAATGAATCTAGATGGACAAGACATGCATTATCCCGCAGTATAGGACACCTTTGACTAAAGTTTCATGCCCTATGAAATAAAACCAGGAGAAGAGTTTAATGATCAAATGAGAAATAATTTTTGAAGTCTTCACTTACCAACCTGGCTTTGGTTAGATCTCCATAGAATGACATACATAGAGCACAAACATATCATCAAAATTACCAATTTTGATTTTACTTATGAAAGTTTGTTTATTGTTCCCGGAGCCCGGAGGGAGTTGGGGGAGGGAGTCATTGTGGCTGTAAATATAAATTCTGAACTCTCTACCTTGGTAGAGTATCAATCAGATCGGTTTTATTCAGAATCAATGACATAAATTATGGGGGAATTGGGGCTGAAATATTTGATTATCGTATGGCAGCAAAGGCAATGTGTTGTGTGTTTGTGAAATGGAAGGGTAGAAGGTGAGTAATCTACATGTTTAGTTGATAATTATGAGAAGGGAAATGGTTGAGGCCTGGGGGTGATTGTAGCAAATGGGGGCATTTCGTTATTGTGGTTGACAGTGGTAGTGGGAAGAAGTGTGAATGTGCCAGATATGATCGATTGTATGAATGTGCCACGAATTAAAACAATACACTACGTGCATGTCATGCAACTTAATGAGCCAGAGTTAATGAAGTGGATTTTTGTAGTTGACTAGTATGAGCAATTTAGTTTTAGCTTATCATTTTAATTGTTTTATAGAAAACGTAATTTTTGTTTTAGTTTATTGAATTGTGTAACAATTAAAATACGTATGTTTGAAATTACTTTTTCGATTGAAATTTATATTTAAGATATTTTTGTATAAATTTTTCTTTATCAGTAAAATAAAATATTACCTCTGTCCCAAAATATTTAGTCAAATCTTAAAAGTTGGATCATGATTTTGATTAGTATAATAATATGGAAGTTATAAATTTTATACTTTTATGAAAATACTTTTAACCAAGAATATTTTCGTATCATATTTATATTATAAATAATTTCCAATAAATATATATAATTGGTCAAATTTTTAAATTTGGCTAAATATTTTGAAACTACGTACATTTTTAATATAAGTTTTCCGTATTTCACTAGATTCAATCATTACTTTGACAATATCACCGAATTTAGTCAATTCTGCCAAATGAATGTTCTTAAAAGTATACCTTATTTTTTCACCTTTTCACCTATATATTCTAATTTGTAAAGATAAATGATTCTTCATTAAAGCCTAAGCTTATGTATTGTGTTTGACTTACTATATGACGATCGGTTTTTCTTTACTTTGTTTATATTGTCATATACTACTACTTTTACAGTGTATTTTTTAATACATTTGTATTAAAAATGTATTTGAAAAAAAGAAAAGCTTTATTCATTTTATTAAAGAGCACACACAAAAGCATTCTAGTGAGTTTATTATGTTTTTGTATTTGTATTATATTTAATTTTAATTAATTCAAGTTCTAAAAGAACATTGACCCCGTAGATCGCACGGGTGCAATGAATTGTAAAAGAACAATACCATTCAAATATTGTCTTCAAAGAAGTGTTTCAAAATCTTATTTTTACACGTTAATTAAGTTATGAAACTCTTAAATTGTGTGTTAATTAACGATTTTAATTTTCTTATGTTTTATTTTTACATTTATATATTACTCTGATTACTCTGATTTATAAAATTTGGATTAAAAATTTCGGCCGTGCATCGCACGGGTGAGAATACTAGTTATTATAAATAGAGAATGGTTTTTAAATTGATATTTGAATTGATATTGTTTAATTTAGTATATGTATTTTATTTAATGTGTTTTAAGAAATGTTTAATTTTCTCATCAAATACTTAATTTAGAGTTGATATTTTTCAGTATGTATGTTTTTGAGCAAATTATTATTCTTTATTTTGTTACTTAACAAAATACATATGATTGTACTAATTTTAATAATATGCATTTTCACTCTTGTCGGCTTAATGTTGGACGTTGGATTAATGTTTGATCAATGTCATTGCTGACGATCAACTTGATCAGATCAATCTGTCACAAGTTTGGTTATGTTTGCTTTTCAACTTCATTGATTTGAAAGTATTTCAAAATAAATATTATTTTATTATATAAATAATAAAATTCATTCAAAATGTATATTTTCAAAATTGATTGATTTGTGGACCTATTCAAGAGGCAATCATTGTAGCTAACCATTGGACTACCACATTGGTGGAAAATGGATTAGCTACAATGTGTTTAGCTAACCGCTGGAGATGCTCTTAGTAGTTAAATTGGTTGATGTTACTTTTTCAGTTTTCATGACCATTTTAACTATTTTTGAAATCATAATTAAGGTTTAACTATTCTATTGGACATAATTTTCTGGTCGGTTTGTGTGTGGTCCGGTCTACATTGGTCTGATAAATGTCTGATTCGTATGTATTTTATAATCGGTGAAGCCTTGTGATCATATGATGAGTTTAAAATTGGTATAGTCTATCTGATATAGAATAAAACTATTTCAAATAAAAACATATTTGGTCCGTTAAAGGTTTAATACAAGTATATGCCAAATGGCATAAGCTGTCTAAGGCTAATTTAGTTTTATCTATTTAAATGTGATTTAATTGAATTTGTTTTGACAGTCAAACAAGTTAGGGTTAGTTTGCAACTACTTTTTAAAAAGCATTTCTCAGTTTTAGGCTTTAAAAAGCACTTATTTTCCCAAACACTACAACTTTTATTTATCTCGGCTTCCGCATCAAAAGTGTTTTTACTTTTTCTATTACACAAAAAACACTTATTTTACCAAACACTACCCACTTTTACTTTTCAAAATCACTTTTTTCTCAAACACTATCAACTTTTATTTAATCATGTCTCCCCATTTCATTAAAAAAACCACCTTTTTAAAAACGGAAACTTTTGCAAACAGATCCTTAGTGAGAACATGTTCAATATTAAACGGCCATCTTATCTTATCTTAAAATAAGTCAACAAGGATGGGTCCCGGAGTTCAAATATGGGCAAAATTAACATCAGAAATTTTAATTTGATTACTTTAAAACATACTCGTAGATAGAATGTACAAAATGAAATTATTTTATTTTTAAAATATGACTTGTCATACATACTATCCTTCGTCTCTTTTTAATCGCGACATGTTGACTTTTTGCACTGTTCACGTGATCTACTTTGACTACATTTTACACTATTATTTTATGGAAATTATTTTTAAAAAAATATATTTTTCAATTCATCTCATTACAAATTTTCAAAATCTGATTTTTAATATTTATTTTAATAATTGAGATTAAGATATACTTACAATCAAATGTGTGTGTTGGTAAATGTGCAAAGATTGACTATTGCAACTAAAAAAGAACGGAGAAAGTACTTTTCTTCTAATTTGATTATTAATCTTTAAAACCCATTTAAGTGATGGCGGACAATTGAAAGACCCCGGAAGATCCTACCCACACCCAACAATGGCTTCTGCCGCCGAAATCATCGGCACCAATATAGAAACTTCTGCTCTGTTCTTATTAACAGTTCTACTCCTTTATACCCTGTGGCGGCTTTATTTCGGAAATCCATTCAAGCCAGCTAGCCCGTTACCGCCGGGACCGTTCGGTTTTCCGGTAGTCGGATACCTGCCGTTTCTCCGCCCGGATCTTCACCACCAGTTCACGGATCTCGCCGGAAAGTACGGACCCATCTTCAAGCTCCAACTAGGAAGCCGGCTGTGCATGGTGGTGAGCTCGCCGTCCCTCGTGAAAGAGATCGTTCGCGATCAAGATGCAATTTTCGGTAACCGCCACCCGACGGCGGCGGCACTGATAGCCACGTACGGCGGCCGTGACATCGCCTTTGCGCCCCTCGGCAATTACTGGCGCGAAGCCCGGAAGATTTTCGTCCGGGAGATGCTGAGCAGCAAGAACATCAGAGCCTGCCATGATCACCGGCGAGAAGAGGTCAGAAAAGCGATCAGAAGTCTGAGGTCAAAATCCGGTCAAGCTGTGAACATCCGGGAATTGGCTTCTTTGACTGAAATGAATGTAGTGACGAGAATGATTATGGGGAGTACCTTAGGATCTGATGAAGAAAAGCGTGAGAAAGTTGGGGAAATGTTCAGGGAGGTGATGGGTAAATTTGTGGCCACACTTGGGGAGCCTAATATATCTGATTTTTTTCCATGGCTGGAAAGGTTTGATCTGCAGGGAATTCAGGGAAAGATGGGTAATTTAGTTAAGGTTGTAGGAGATATTCTTGAGCCCATCATTGAAGAAGGGGAAAAAATGGTTTCTGAGAAGTCTCAGAGAGATGGGAGGAAGGCTGGGGATGAGAAGGATTTTATGCAGATTCTCTTAGAGCTGAAGGCTGGTGAAGCTGGCAAATTTTTGGATTTTGGTGCAATCAAAGCCATCTTGGAGGTATCTTTTTCATTCTGATTTGTACTCTGTTATTCTCTTGTGTCTAGTACTCTTTCTGTACAAAAATACAAAACCTGAGTCAGACAGGCTCCCAAGTTTTTTCTAAATTTTCTGTTCATTGGCTCCGCTCCTAGCAAATGGGGTTTAGCCACATGTCCATACATACTCGTACGAGCGAACAGGTAGACCACTTGGTTGCTGGCTTGATAAAATCATGATTTTTTTCAAAATAATCAAAACAATTAGAAAACTTTTAAAATAATATTACAACAGTTTAAAAATGTTAAGTATTTATAATATTCACAGGTCTTAGTTTCCACCACATAAAGAAAAAATGTGTACACAAAATAATAATGATAAGTTATAACTAAAACATACTCCGTACTATGTAATATTCAAGTACAAAAGTACTAGGGAGTGTCAGGGATGGACCGTACTACAGACCCAGGGGGCGGTCACCGCCCCTTCAACAAAATTTATTTTTAGTGTATATATATAATAAAAATAATTTCCGCCCCCTCCAAAAATAATTTTCGTCCCAAAAAAATATTTTGAACCCCCTAACATGAATTTTCTGGGTCCGCCCCTGGGGAGTGTCTTTTAGTGTAAGAATAGATATTATATTGGTTTTAGCTAGTAGTTAAGAACTAAAAACTTAAACTTAAACATAATAAACCATAAATATGTATCAATATAGTGGGTCACATACACGTCCACATGTAAACAAATAAATTAATAAGTAATTATATATAAACCTAAGATAGATTTTTGTTCAGGTGAGAAACACATCTAATTTGAGAAATGAGAATGAATCTTAATCGTTTAGATTTATAAATTGCATTGAAAAAGGGTTTATGTTGCATTAAGATTTAAATTTTACGGAGTTGCACTAAAAAAATCATAATGCACTAATATTTGACAATGTTGCACTAAATCAGCTTCACGATGCACTAGAGATGTGTAACACAAATTTTTCAAATGTATTTACAAAAATGCCACTACACATAGTTGCATTTGGTGTAACATTAACATCTTTTACTGCACATAGTCGAATCCAACGTTTGAGAGTTATTATCATTTTTCATCTAAAACTTAATATATTTACAATCATTTACCAGACTATGACTAAAAATCACACGGGGAAGTCATGGACCTTTACAAATGCAACAGGCTATGAAACCGTAACTTTTGATGTTTTAAGAAAACATACAAATACCAAACAATGAACTCAAACTAACAAAGTAACACCTCACCCACAAACAATGACCCAAAGGGATGATAACAGAAGTTCAAAATCACACGCTTTCCCGTTTCAAACTTACTAATTAGCACTATTAAGAAATCAACCTAGCTCAAATTTACTAATTAGTGCTATCTCACTTCATGAAATTTTCTATGGCTTCTTTAAACCATGTTCTGAGAGCTCTACTTAGGGAGTGTTTGCAATTGCTTCAACTTTAAAAAAGTAATATTTTAAAGTGATTTTGGGAAAAGTGATTAATAGTAAAAGGTGGTAGTGTTTGAGAAAAAAGTGATTCTGAAAAAGTAAAAGTTGGTAGTGTTTGGTAAAATAAGTACTTTTTGTGTAATAGAAAAAGTGAGAAACAGTTTAAAGCACCCTTCTACCTGCTTCCAGTTTAAGTGATTAATTTAAGCAGAAGCTGTCATTTGAAAACACACTTTTCAGCTTTTCTTAAGCCAAAAGCTAAAAAGCGCTTTTTTTTAAGTAATCCCAAACACTCCTTTACATTGACATTCATAACCATGTCAAGGGCAACAATCTAAGCACTCCAATAATATATTTATAAATAAGTTGGGAGTTTCGTGAAGTTTGAAGCTGCTTCTAAGAAAACCCAGCTTACAAATTAGAACCATTTGTTTTAAAGAGGTCATGAGAACTCCGTTAGCAGTGATTTTATTACGTATCTCACTGACATGACTACATTTAAGGTTTCATATCAAACATTTTGTCGAATAAAATAACAATACAACCTCAATAATGTGAAGAATATCTCTACTTGAATTTTCCAAACACAAATTACCTGCTAAACTTGAATTAGTTGGATGTAGACGGAAGGACTATCTCTACTCTAGTGAAGGAGTAATTCGGATGACACCTTAAAAGCTGCAAATGTTCTACTTTGAAGCAGTGATCCTAAACAGCGTGAACATATTTTAAAACAGCTAGATATATGAAATCACCCAACCAAACTAATTTGTAGGTCAGACCGTAAGAGAATTCAATAAACAATCAACAATAGCCCAAAAGCCTAACAACTTTACAATTTTAAATGCTTGTTAAAACTAAGATGATAATAATCAGGACTGAAATAAAAAATCAAAATGAAGCAGGGATATTGGAAAAAGTAAAATTAAAATCAATAGAAAATGTAAAGTGTCAGAATAGAGAAAAGAACTTACAAGAACAAGCAAGAAAAGCAGGGGAAAGCCTTCTGAACATTTGAAGCACATTACTTATAACCGGCGCAGGCAATAAACCTCTTGAGTTGCCAATCAAAATTTTGTAATTTTGTAAATTGTATGTTTTACTTTTAGGATATAGTGATAGGGGGAACAGACACAACAGCGACGACAGTGGAGTGGGTCATGGCAGTGCTTCTTGACGATCTAGAGGTCATGAAACAGGTCCAAAATGAGTTGGAGCAGATAGTTGGAATGAACTCTACTGTGGAAGAACTCCATTTACCTAAGCTTACCTATTTGGATGCTGTTGTGAAGGAAACTTTGCGTCTACATCCTCCACTCCCACTCCTCGTCCCCAGGTGTCCAACAGCAACTTCACAAGTGGGCGGTTACACAATCCCAAAAGGCACTAGGGTCTTTCTGAATACACATGCCTTACACAGAGATCCTCAGCTTTGGGACAATCCGTTGAAGTTCATGCCTGAAAGGTTCCTCGATCCGGGTTTGGTTTCGGGATTGGATTACACCGGGAATGATTTTCGGTTTCTTCCGTTTGGGTCGGGAAGGAGAATCTGTGCTGGGATTCCCCTGGCTGAGAAAATGCTAATGTACATTTTGGCCTCGTTGTTGCATTCCTTCGACTGGCGGCTTTCTGAAGGGGAAAAGCTGGATTTGTCAGATGGGTTCGGAATAGTCGCTAGGAAGAAGACTCCTTTGATTGCTGTCCCAACTCCAAGGTCATCCAACTCTGAGCTTTATCATTAAAGCTCGGAGAATCATCATAACTTAATGAAATAACATGTACTTTGAAGTTAAACTATGTTTATGTATATAAGCCGCACGCAGACCTCAAATTACAGAAAGATCATTTTCTTATTGTTATCTTATCTTTTGATACATTACTCTCACTCTCTCTCTCTCACACACATGCATATCATACAGAGTAAATGTTCAGAAAATCAAGTTCTTTTATAAAGTAGAGGAAAATTAAAAGAGAACTTCTGATAACTAAAAGATACGATAGTATATGATTGATAATCTGATACCTTTAATTGTTTAGTTAGTCCATGTTGATTCCCAAATGGCGAAGAAGGCTTTTAGTTAAAAGGAAGGAACTAGTAACATTTAGGAGGTGTTTCGAATTGATTCTAGTTCTGCTTCTTTTTTAAACGCAGAAGTAGAATCAGAATTAATTTTTCAGAACCTGATCCCTTCAACTTCTAAAACAACTGCTTGTAGGAGTAATTTGGAGCACTCTGAAATACTTCTGAGCTTTCACCCAAACACCCCAATATCTGATTCTTCTCCTTGAAGGAGCATAAGCAAATTTCAAAAGTAGATCCAAGCATCCCCTTTAATTACAATCGTGCTACTTGTACATCGTGTACACATCAAATTTACACGCCCAAGTGTAATTGTCAATGTATAGTCTACCACCCCAAAAAAATGAATTGTCTGCACACAGACAATTTCACTTGAGTGTGTAAATCAGCGGGTACAAATAGCATTTTTCTTTAGATTATGGGTTAATTTTTATCCATACAAATTATCAAAGAAATGGTAATTGGAATTCCTTGTTATGTTGACAGCGATTATAATGACTCCCAATTCTATCTAATTGCGATGATCAAAATTAACTGATTTTACAACTCTTCTTTGAGATTTTATTTTCTAATTATTGATGGGTACTGGTGGTTTAGTTATAAACCATTATAATATAAGGATAATCAATCAGGTAAAGTCACTTTTAAGGAAAAAGAAAATAATAATTATTTTATGGGTAAAATAAAGGTAGTGGATAACCATTATCACGTTCACTTTAACACTATAATTACCGTGATGATATGCTCATAGTACTTTAATAATATACGAAGTACTTGTATGATATTTCATGCCCCAATACTCCAATAGTCTTCAAATATGATATTTTTGGATTACAGTGTTTTCTTTATCTCCACGAGGGCATAAATTGTCATCATGCCTATTGAGATTGTGCTCAACGTATTTTAGATATCACCAACTTTATCTACAAAAAAAAGTTAATTTTGAATCGTATAATTTAAAATAAAAAGTTAATCGCTACTCTTAATGTAAAAAAGTAGATTTACCTATTTTGGACAGATGTCCGTAGATCACTCATTCACTCGTACGCCCAAAGCACCCAAAAAGAAGATGAAAAAATGAAAAGTAAAGGAAAACAAAAGGAAAAGACAATGGGAAAAAAACCTATAAAAATAGTCCTAGTGTCCAAGTCACCTGCCGAATTGGGTCCTGCAGGTCACGGGTTCCTATATCGTACACTAGGATGTACAGGTACATCCAGGTATTTTTTAAATTATTTCTAATTTGTAATTGGAAAAGAAGGTTTCAACTAACCAGACTCATCACCGGTGAAGTAGCTAGACTGCGAAGCCAAAACTCGGAAGACCCTGCCCGGCTGGCTTCAATTTACCAACTCTTGCAATTCCGATTTCAATTCACTCTTTTTCTCTGTTTAATATCTTCCTTTATGGCCTGCCGCCCTGTTCTTCTCCAGAAGGCAATTGTGCCTTATAGAAATCCAAGTTCCAACCTCCCAACCCCAGGTATTAGTAATACTTACTCCGTATTAAGCATATAGCTTCACACCTTGACTGTCTTCAATTATTTATGCAATTGGCTGTGAATTGGAACTTGGGGTTTTGGAACTTGGGGTCGGGAGTTTACGGGCTTCAGGAACACTGCTTAATGCTATTGTTAAGAATAGGTTGTCTCTTTAATCATTATATTTTTGAAATTCTTTCTAATTTGTAATTGGAAAAGAAGGTTTCAACTTCCGGGATCCAAGGAGCAAGAAGCACAAATATGGCCGGACACGGCCGATATCACTGCAGCCGTTAGAGCTACAAGCACACCAGACTAACCCACATAGATGACCATGGGATTGGGACAAACCACGTTTCCTTCATCTTCTTCAGTTGGATGAAAATCACATGCCCCGGCCCTCGGACTAATTTGTTTATCATCGATACTCATTTTGTACGTTATGTATGCTCATTTGGTACCGCTGTTCTGCTCACTTTAAAATGTTATATCAATGCATATTTTAAATGCACCATATTGCATTAAGTTCGCATAGGAGTTGATTATAAATATGTTTATATTAAACTCAAATGAGTATGCGCCTACAAAGAATGAACGTCCACAAATGATTTTTTGAATTTCTAGATACTCATTATATACGTTTTGATGCTCATTTGATACTGCTGTTATGCTCATTTTAAAATGTTATATCAATGCATACGCAGTATTTCAAAAGCATCATATTACATTAGATTCATATAGTAGTTGATTATAGACATGAGAGTAAAAATCACGATACTCAATCGTACAATTCTAATACTCAATAGTGGAGGTTTGATGCTCACTGAAAATGTCTTGATGCTCAACTAACAAAATTTAAAAATTTCATATTAACGCTCATTTTGTAATTTATGTATGCTCATTTCGTACTGATTGCTCATTAAATAATCTAAGAACTTCAATAAGTGAATCTAATGTCATATGCAACTTTTAAATTATGCATGGATATATTTTAAAATTGAACATAATATAAGTACCAATTGAGTAAAGTAACTTTCAAAAATGAACATCGTAAGCACTGTACTCATAATTGACTTCTTTTAGTGCACATTCGCTTTATATATTATACTCATTTAAATATACAATAAAACTCATTTTATTAATATGCATTGATAAGACATTTTGAAAATGAGCATAAATGAGAATCAATTGAGCATACGTAACTTAAAAAATGAACATTGATATGAAAATCATAGTGTTTTTTAGTTGAGCATCAAGATATTCTCAGTGAGCATTAAACATCTTCTATTGCGTATATAAATATGCAATTGAGTATCATGGTCCGTGCTATATTATCTATAATCAAATTCTACGTAAATCTTATATAATATGATACTTTTGAACTATGCATTGATATAAAATTTTAAAATGAGCATAACACTAGTACCAACTGCGCATACATAACTTATCAAATGAGCAATGATATGAAAATCATAAACTTTGTTAGTTCAGCATCAATACATTTTTATTGAACATCAAACTTATTCTGTTGAGTATTAGAAGCATGCAATTGAGTATTTTGATCTTTGCTCCCATTCGAATCTAATATGATACTTTTGAAATATACTTTAGTATGACATTTTGAAATGAACATAAAGCTGGTATCAGATGAACATACATCACTTACAAATTGAGCATCGAAAAATTTAAAATCTTGTTTGAATGCTCTAATATGTTTAAATGTTCATTTGTACACATATATTATATATAAAAAAAAGATAAAAGAAAAAAAATATAGTAATTACGAATATAGTTATTTTGTATTAAAAATAATTTATAGTCTTTCTTTATGGAATTACATATATAACAGGGTTTATTTTATAATGTTTACACATGCTATTTATTTTACACTATACTCATTTTAGCATAACACAAAACTCATGTTAATTACTCCCTCTGTCCTATTTCACCTATCTTATTTTCCTTTTTGGGTTGTCCCAAAATAAGTGTCATCTTTCCCTTTTTGGAAAGAAATATGTGGTTCACAACATTTCACTTTACTATACTCAAATCTCAACCACAACGTTTACCTTTTCAGCCACTTTATTATAAATTGTGCCTAAATCAAAGGAGACACATAAAATGTGACAGAGTTAGTAGTAGTTAGAACATAATATTTAATAAACTAATAAATATTCATCTTAAACTAAAAATAAAAATAAGACACTAATACCTTAAGAGGCCGTTTGGCAACACTGTTTTTCGGCTTATCAGACTTATCAGCCAACTTTTTCACCAAACACGTAATTTTTGTTTTCACGCGTTGAATTGTGTAATAAGCAGAAAAAGTAAGGTTGAAGTTACTTTTCCGGCTGTATTGGCTGAAGTTACTGTAGATGGCCATTTTAACTATTTTTACATATAATTTTTTCTTTATTTTATTAATAAAATATATTTTAAAAATATTTTTTTCTTAAATCAGCAGAATCAGCCAATGCAGCCACTTCAGTTAGAACTTCATAAATTTCAGCAGAATCAGCCAAAACAGCCGATTTTCGTGCTACCAAACGGGCTCTAAATATACATCATAAATTAAAATCAATGGAAAAGGTGTTAAAACAAAAAGGGAAAAAGAAATTAAAAAGAAAGAGTTACGTGAAAGCAAAAACAAAGAAGTCAAATGGAAGATGTTCCGTAGTATATGCACGCGCGTAGTGGACTACAGCTGGCAGGGAAAAAAATTAAAAACAGCATATGCGTTATGCGTATGAACGGACGAACTACAGCCTGCAAATCAGAAACAATTACAAAAATACCCGGATGTACAAGTGAGCACTGGACATCCGGGTGTACGGTATAATTTGCGTGCAGGTCACGGGTTCATTATGAGAAGAGGCTCGCTATAGTTCATATTATTTTAGAATTAGGCATAATTTGGGATAAGATTAATATTATAAGATCTCTAATAGTTTAGATTATGAATGTGAATTTTTCCTACAAATCTACAATATTTGGTGCTTTTTCATTAAGCATTTTCGTGACTTATTGGTTGGATATTTTATTTTGCCAATCAATTCTTTGTTTGGTTATATTAGAGCAACCGACTGATAATTAGAATTGTGTTCCTTTCAAATCATAAAGATGATTTTATTTTATCCTTATAAAATAAAAAGTAAAAGACATGAAAAAAGTTTTAATATAAGGTCTTTTGGAGCGCGTTGCAGCGATAGTTTCCTTAGCAAAGTTTATATGGTATGATTTTCAAAGCATTTTCACTCAGGATGTTTTACTTGG